AGTTACTCATGTGATGACTGTACTGACACTAGCCTTTGCTCTGTTTATGCTGAGATTGAGGTTGCCTTGCAGGTTGACATTTTCCCTGCAAATGAAGTTATAGATGAAGTTGTTTATGCAACTGAAGCTCTTGACATCACAACTGCTCCAACCTCACCATCCATTGAACAACCTCATTACTTAGAGATTAAACCATTTCCTGATAATCTTAAATATGCTTATTTAGAGAGGGATGAAAAGCTTCCAATTATAATTTCTTCTAACCTTGATTTTGATCAAGAAAATAAGCTTTTCAAGGTTTTGAAGAAGCATAATAAGGGAATTTGATGGACCTCAGTTGACACTCATGATTTTAGCCCATCCATAAGTATGCGTAGGGTCTCAATTGAAGATGGAACAAAATTAGTGAGGCAACCCCTTAATTCTTTGATCTCTAATGTATGGAAAAGGATATCATGTTCACGTGCCCATTCGACCCTTTTACTTATTGAAGATTCTTCTTTGATCCTGGAATAAAAGGTGAAGGCACTAATACATATTTCAAGGTCACTGGATGTTACCCAAAGTTACTTTATGACATCTCTACTTTGAAGGAGGAGCCTGTAGAAGATCTCTCTTTGGGAAAGGCTTCTTGTGCGACCACTTATCCACCTTGACTACTTGGGCGTGTTCTTTCCTTTCTCTCACTCTTATTTTATATTTATGTTCTTCAATTGAGGACAATGTATATTTTAAGTGTGAGGTAGGGAACCATTTCTTTGTTTTGTTATGTTTTCTTTAAGTAAATTTTTTTTTAAAAAAATAACTTAGAAACACAGGGCATCTTTTGAAATTTTTAGGCTATAGATTAATTTGAGGTTAGATTATGGTGACTTGGAAAAAAATCATAAGATCAGTACCGTTTTAACATCTTAAGTCTCCCGAATATGGTAATCGATTTAAGTATTTATTATAACATAGCCTTGAGTTCTCATCCTTTAATAACTCTTAAGTAGTTTATATAGCAGTCAACGTCATCTAGAAATCACACACTAAATAATTAAGTTGATGCAAATAAGTGAATGATCCCGTGCTTAATAAGAAATTTGAATAGGAATTTGCCTTTTAAGTTAGGTGACCCTCACCCGGTCACTTAGCCTAACAGTTGTGAAACCTTCAAGAAAGAATTGTTGTTGCTAAAGTGGTTAATTTTGAATTGTTGACAATATATGAATCATAGTCACTAACAGGCTTATTCACCATGTGTGTGAATTGATAACGAGGTTAATGTGATTGCATTAGAATGAAAGAGATCAAAAATGAGGATGAGTAAGTTAGGCTTAGGCATAATAACATGATTCAAACTGGTTTGCATAGGAGGGAGGTTTATGACCGCACAATTACAAATTTGTGTTCTCACGATATCCTTAGTGTGCAAGATTAGTACCTATCGATGCAATCTTAACCGAAGAAAAGTTTGTAGCCTAGAATGAGATCCGAGTGCTATTGTTTTTCATGAGTCTTGATACTATTTTGCTCAGAGTGCAAAAGTTCAAGTGCAGGGGGAATTTTATCAGTGCATTTTGATGCATATTATTCTACTATTGTACTTAGACATTTTTATGGTTTATTTTATTAATTTTATTAATTTATTGTATTTTTAGATTTAAGTTTATTTTAGCCTTTAATTTAATTTCGTATCTTATTTTCAGCATTAACAGTTATTTGATACATGTTCACCGTGCAGGCCATAAATTGAGCTATGAGAATCAGATTGACACGTTCTAATAGACATTGGAAAGCTAAGACAAAGAGCTATAAGTTTCGTATTGAGGTGAGAACTGATTCAGAGTGAAACTGTGTTGAACAATTTGTTGAAGTTTCAGACTTTAGAAATATTTTGTTTTGGGCCGAGTTTTTTTTTTATGTTTTTCGGCTCAGTTGGGTTAAAAACCGAATTTGATGCTTCCCTATACCTAATAGCAACCACACTACTATTCATGACCTTCTTTTCACTATTGACGAATTTTACTTTTGCTTTTTCTGAATTTTTATGGAGAACTAAACCTCTCAGGTTGATATGCTGTAATCGGGTCCAATTACCTTGAGATTTATATAACTTTACAATTCAATTACTATTCATATCAATCCTGTTTTATGATTATCGTTTTCTTAATCCGATTTTTCATAGAGTAATTTTGTTGATTCGATTGATTTATATTTTCTAAATTTAATTGCCTGTTATCGTTTACTTAATTCATTAATTAGCTTATTTCTTATCTGCTTGCTTAATTCATTCACGTTTATTGATTGATTTGTGATCGGCGAATAGGGAACATAACTCTTATAATGTCACTATCGTTTGTTGATTGATATTGTGATCGTATATGAATAAAATTCGCTTAGGCCAATGAGTTATAATAATCGATGATAGGTAGAACCGAAACAGCAGATTAACTTATTTTCATAATCATTTATTTTAACCATTATTTCTCCTTACTTTAGTAATTGAACTGAATCCTAAACAACCCTCCTAATCGTTATTAGTCGGTTAATAATCATACAAGAGTCCTTGCGATATGACATCCGACTGTCACTTCTTGTTACTACTTTTAAAAACTCTTTTTTGACTCGTGTGCGACAGCGGATCACCCTCCTTCTTACAATGATAACACTTAATAGTAGGATCATTACCAGCATAAGAATTACGTAGAACTTTACCCTTCTTCTTCTCAAACTTACCATCTTTCTTCAAGAATTTTCCCTTAACGAATAATCCTTCACCAACAGAAGGTGGTTTGTGCTCCTTTTATTTGTTTAAATCCTTAGAGTACGAGGCAGATTAAACATTTTCAAAGTTCAACGACTCTCTTCCATACAAGAGAATTTCTTTGAAGTGAGCATGAAACTTAGGTAAATAGAATAATAACAACAACAACGATTGATTTTCATCATCAATCTTGACCTCAATATTTTCAAGATAAAAAGTTAACTTGTTGAACATATCCAATTGCTCAGCCAAGACTTTGTCTTCACTCATCATGAATGAATATATAGTTTGCTTCAGGTAGATAAGGTTAACCAATGATTTTGTCATATACAAACCTTCAAGTTTCATCCACACACCCGCTGCAGTTTTCTCCTTTGAAACCTGCCGGATAACCTTATCACCAAGGCTCAATACAATGACAATGTGAGCTTTTTCGACCATCGTTGTCTTCTCCTTCTCTGATAGGGCAGCGTCCATCTTCTCCGATTCTTTCAACGCTTCTAGTAAATCCTGTTGAACAAGAAAGACTTGCATCTTAAAGAGCCACAAACCGAAATCATTCACACCAGTGAGTTTCTCAATCTCATACTTTGATGACGACAACTTCTCCTCCATGCTCACCACACCAGTTTGTTGTTAATTGATATCATCAAAAACAAAGCAAAATATGATAAAAAGATTTGAGTTTCTTGAATAAACATAAGAAACCCTATTAGGTTTTACAAAAGGGAGAAAAGAAGGAAGAAGAATATGAATTGGTTAAATCTGTTTTTCTATTCACTTTCTCAATAAGGGTTCAAAGATTACAAGTGAATACCAACAAGTAACCCTTATCTATAACTTGAGAGAACTAGTCTATTTATAGGCTACCAAGCTAACTTAGGCTACAAGATAACTTAACAATTGGGCTTACAAGCAATACCCAATTTGACATGCTAACTTAAACATAAAACTAACATATTTCGACAACATGCTTGAACAGACTTCGACTTTAGCATGCACAACTCCTGTCGAACCATGAAACTACCCTTGTCGACACTAGAGTTTAATCCAAAATACCAGTGAGAAATATATCTCGAGCGGGAATGAATTTTATTTATCAAGAAGTCAAGCGAGCAAAGGAAATAGGTTCAGATAGCTTAAAGTGTGGTTGTACACTTAGGAAGACGTACGATATTTCGTGTGCTTGTGTAATTTCAAAGAAGAAGAAACTTGATATACTCATATGTATAGATGAGGTTTGCATGCACTTGAAAAAGCTCTAGTTTGATGATGATGATGATGATGGTATGATACCATATGGTAAATTGAATATATCTATCATGATTGAATGTGAAGTGATTCAAGAGAGATTATCGATGGTTGGCGACAACATGAAACTGCACATCAAAGAGTACATGAGGAAAATTGTCTATCCAGAAGCTACATATTTAAAACCACCCTCAAAATAGATAAAAACAAAGGGTGCTCTTAAAACTGTCAAACCAACACCGACAGACAATTCAACGAAATGGTCTTCTTTTTACTTTGAACATGGTGACACATATTTTCCATATTCTCCAACTTCAAAATTTCAAAAAAAGCTCTCATTATCAAACTATCTTCTTCACCCCTTAAACCAAAAATCATACTCATTGAAGAAAGATCACTTTTATACATAAATAAATGGATTGTAGATGCTAAAGATGATCATAACCGTAATTATTATATAGTTTCATATTTACTAGTTAAAAAAGAGGAGAATCATACATTTTTCAATAAAAAAGATAAATAAGTGGAATGTAAATTCTCCTTATCTAATATTCTAATATACTTACTAAGTGACCTGACTTCATAATAAACAATCTTTATTATGAGTTATCTAATAACCTATTTTCCTGCTAATTATTTCAACTTCTCAAAATTGTGTTAGTGGTTTTCTCAAGTTTTATTTTATACACAATAACTTTCAAGCTAATAATCAACTATAAAAATTATTCTATCTGATAGAACGTTGTTAAATAATAAACGTGTGGTTTAGCTAATTTTTCACGCCATTGCGATTAGCATGCCGCAATCACGCCTAATTTTAATTAACGTCTCTAAATATAGCCTAATCACCCCAACATTGGTCACAAAAACATAACACAAACTTAATTAATCAATCTACTTCTTCCTAATCTCTTTCTCTCATTCCAATTTCTCATTCATTCATCACAAACAAAATTTTGATTAAATATTCACATTACTATTATTTTTCATTTCCGTTACCATGAAATCACTGTTCAACCGTAACCCATCGTCGTCATCAACGCCATCACGATCAACCTCACTCTCCGTGCATTCACGCGCTCGTCTCGCGGGTGAACTCGAAGATGTGTTCAAGAAATTCGACGTGAATGGCGACGGCAAGATCTCTGCCTCCGAACTCGGATCCATCATGGGAAGCTTAGGCCAACCGTCAACCGATGAGGAGCTCAACAACATGATCCGCGAGGTCGACGGCGACGGCGACGGTTGCATTAGTTTGCAAGAATTCATTGAGTTGAACACCAAAGGCGTTGATTCTGATGAGATCTTGGAGAATCTGAAGGACGCGTTTGCTGTTTTTGATATGGATGGGAACGGTTCGATTACGGCGGAGGAGCTTAATACGGTTATGAGAAGCCTGGGGGAAGAGTGCTCGTTGGCGGAGTGCCGGAGAATGATCGGCGGCGTTGATAGCGACGGTAATGGGACGATTGATTTTGAAGAGTTTAGGATGATGATGATGATGGGTTCTCGTCATGACACGACGGATAGGGTCAAACCGGAACCTATGCCTACGGATGAATAAATTAGCTACTATCGGAAAATCTCTTTTCTTTTTCTTTTGTATGTGCTTCTGTTTTTCGTTGCTACAAACTTGATCCTATGAAAAAGATGCTAAAGTTTTATGATAGTATTATTTTTAGTAATTTAAATACTTGTAGTAGATTCCATCATGAATTCTCTTTAGTCTCTTTTTTAGTTGTTTTACTAATTGTTTTTTTGCTTACCAAATATTATTTGGACACAAAATGTTACAACAATACTAATGTCTGTAATGTAATTTGATTATGCAAAAATTAACTCCATTTTGATAATAAAATTGTTTCTCTTCAATATATCTACCTACTAACCAAAAATATATTGCACATTGTGGTTCTTTTAGCTTTGATAATATCTTGAACTCAATTAAAAAATACATATAATAATTGTTTTAAGTGACTGAACATTCCAGAGATATTTGGTAGATGAATGAGAGTATCATTCTATTAGGTGAGCGAAGCCAAAAAGGTAAAAACAAATTTAAAGAGAGTTAACTAAAAAATGTTACACGTTAGTGTTTTTGGTGAAAATTAAAAAATAACTGCTGATCTTTCAAATTTAGTTTTGATGACTCACATGATCGATCAGATTGATCTTAGGACATGTGTTAAATTTTACTTTAAAAAAAATACTAAAGAACTAAACACTTCGACAGTGTTTATGAGAAAAAAGTTAATGTAAATATAAGGTTCGACAGAAATGAAAGGACATGAAATTGAAAGAAACAAAGTAAAAAGCTTTCAAAAACACTTAAACGAAATTGCAAGGAAGTATAAGATAAATTCTTTTAAGATAAAGTAAAAGTAAATTCCATTAAAACATATAATGGTGTTTTTACATTACGTACATTCTTCCAAAACTCTTTTCTCTACACTCGGATACTTTGAGTAAATTTGGAATGACTTGTACAATAGTAAATTACAACACACTGAATTATATTGCTAGAACCCCTATTTATAATAATACAATTAACTGCTATTAACTTCCTAAAATGATCAGCCATTGACAAGTGTCGTGCTGCATGTAGTTGCTTCTTGGATGTGTGTCACTTGTCTCGTTCAAAAATGAGAAAGCATAACTACTCCCTCCCTTATTTGAATTTCAAATTCTACTAGTATTTGGCCAACATTCTCGGTCGAAGGTGACCTATCTAATCTTAGAAATGTTTTCTAAATCCCAAAAGTCTTCCTTCCTTATGTAAATGCCTTCCATTTCATTTACGGCTAAAATCCACTCGAAGGCTTTTCCATATTACCTCAAGAATTCAATATTTCATCAAAACACTTTAATTTAATGTGGGCGTCGAATTTTTGAGCTAATAAATTGCCTCCAAAAATGTCTTTTTCGACCATGCTAAAGAAAAAGACTATTTTTTGACAGTATCTAATTTGACGCCATCTTTCGACCCCCACGTAGGTGTCAATGCAACTGACTACCCATGATTTGAAAGAAACTGCTTAGCTGATTTTCAAGCACGTCCATGACGTCATGGGCAAGTATGAAACAACTTCTTGGAAAAACCACCAAATCCCATACCATCATCATCTCTCTTAGGACCTATGAGATCGTGGGTCTAGGCAATGACTGCCATCGCCCCCACTTTCAATCCTGGGAAGTCGTGTGTCCCACTACTTTTAGCCCTCAACGATGAATAATGACTTTTGATTACTTCAAAACGTCTTATAAATAATCTCCCCATAAATTATTTTAAATTTTTCCAACTCAAACAATCACTACGCATCTCTTCCAAACACTCCCAACCTTTCTTCAGTAAACCCATTTTTACTAAAACCTCATCAACGACGTCCTCCACTGCTGTTACCCATGATCAGAAGAAGAACCCCAAGGTCAAGTGACCAAAAGATATGTCGCTGCTTCCTCCTTTTGCTACACTGAGCAGGCCTAAAATAGTGAAGAACCAACAGTTTATTCCCTAGCCCCTCATAGAAGAGAAGGGGCATATTTATGAATTACAAGTAATGATCCCCGTAACTGTTTCAAGTAAACCTTTAGCTTTAGTTGGCCCTCTGTCTCCTTTAGGAATAAATTATTCAACCATCAGTGACTTCTTTCCCTCCTATCGCAAGACTAAACCTTTAGGGCAGAAAGATCAAACAAAAGTCCCCACTGAAGGTTCTAACAGTTTATCGTTACACAATGTAGACCTTAAGTACCTAAAAGATGGATCCAGGCTGTTTAGAGCGACTCCTTATTTCAAAGACTCTGATCTTTATCTGAACTGGTTGACCAAAGTAGAGAAGTTCAAGGCAAAAGCTTGGAAGAAAACTGGGATTTATGACCTGATCATGATGTCGAAAGTAGGTCCCACCTACTGCCCCATTCTTCTGGCCTCTTCTTTATATTTCTGGGATAGTACCCACTATACCTTTCACCTTCCTTGTGGGATGATGACACCCACTCTTTTTGACCTAGCCGCTATCACAGGGCTAAAACCCCATGGATTGGTTTATGATCCTGAAGTGGATAGTCAAGACACTATAGGGTTTTCGACCACCAAGCACACATACACCCACTTCATCAATCATTATCACAACAAACAAACATAAGCTGTCGAAGATCAAGAACACATAGCATTTCTGGCTATGTGGCTTTCTCGTTGTGTTTTCTGTACAAAATATCTGCAGGTTGCAAGGAAGTATCTTACTTTAGCCAACCAACTACATTTGAAACGAGGTATTTGCCTAAGTGAAATGATACTGGTCAGCCCGTATAAATCCTTAAGCGAAGGTGTTGGTCGACTAAAAAGCCAAGAGAGTAACAGAAATCTCTTGCTATCGGGGCCTTTCTGGCTGCTCCAACTCTGGCTCAATGCCATATTCGAGACCAGTCTTCCTAACAAAGGGACGGTCGATGAAGAAGCCCCAGAGATAAAGGAGAGGCAAGTCGAGTGGCCTCGATTGGCCAAGCTAACCCCTAGTGAAGAGGGGCAGACACTCAGGGCAAATATCTTTGGCTTTATTAAGATGTTCGCCAAACACCACGAGTTTACACCACAGATGACTCCGTTTGCAGAAAGGAAATATGGCCCTGAATGGTTTACTGGGGCCTTCCCTTCTGCGTTCAAAAAGCATGAAGCAGAGTCAATGCTTGTCTAGGAAGGTTTTTTGATTCCTCGACTCATTATCTACAAACTTAACCTTCTGAGGGGCCAAGAAGCTTTGATGGCCTACCAGCCAAATCTTGTCTCTTGACAGTTTGGCTTAGTCCAAACATTGCCCAAGTGTCTATATGACAAGAAAGCTCATGTGATCCCCCCCATAATATCTTCAATAACATAGAGAGTTCGACGCATCTTGCTCGACATGCCCGCAAAACTTTCCTCACCCCTGTTTACTTCGAGCCCTCTCACCTTTACACCCAGGAATTCTATAACTGGTGGTCGAGGCACTATACCTCAGAATTCCTTGATGTTTCTAGCTTTGTTTTCTTGATTGACCAAGCTTTTGTTGATGTGTAGGAGAAAGTAAAGAAAGGTATATCCACTCATATCAAAGAGATTCAAGCTTTTCAGAAGTACTTTAAAACTGCTTATCGACCAAATGATGTTAGTCAAACCATCCGCGAAGCCACTGTCACGCTGAAAGAAAAATTATCAAAGAAAATGGAGAATCTAAAAATCCCTTCGTACGTTCCTCCTGAGAATTGTTATGAAGTGGCTTTTGCCCTATTTCCCCCAAAAACTCCTTGAATGCCATCTGCTAATTTTGGAGTGGCTCTTGCCCCTCCATTTCCAGATTGGTTCATCTGTGAAGATTCTTTGTCAACAGTCAAAACCCAAGGCCCAGCGGGTGGTTCCAACTAAACATACGCTCGATAGTTTCAAAGGGCACCTTCATGTTGGTATCAAAGATGTTCGCATCGAATATGAAATCATTGAAGGTCGCCATCCTTCGATTTTAGGTTCCTTTATCTGAACTCTATTATTATTAACTTATGGCAACATTATTTGTTTTGCAGCTACCCCCAAGAAAAATGTACCTCAACCACGAGTTGAGATAAAGGCTGAAGGCAACAAGGTACTTCTCTAGTCACCATCCTAAATAGCCAAGGTGAGCCTAATTACCATCCCGCGTCTGATTTGGGCTCTGGAATGAGTTCACTTGGTGAAATTAATAAACCTGGCTTTGAAACAGCTCCTTCTTCACCTGCAAAGACTGCTACCCAGCAGTCTCAAACTGATAGCTCTGATCATGAGGAAAATGATGTGCACCAGAATCTTGAGACACATGGTACGAGAGACGTCCATATGGAGGAAGATGTATCCTTAACTGATGCGGGCAATTCCCCATTGGGCGATATTCTTGGCGTCGAAAATGCTGATCCAGCGGGGAGCGAGGATATAGAGGAAGATGAAACCATGCATCAATATGAATTGGACGACCATAGTGACGAAAATACTGACGACAAAATGGATGAAGACAAGGAAGATGATGGTCAGAGTGAAGAGGAGGAAATTGGGAAAGGTCCTGACAATGAGCCAACCCAAGTCGAGGTTGTTGTTACTCCAGCCACCATTGCTGCTAATGAAGGCAAAGCAATGCCCACTATGTGTGAAGCAGGCCTCACTGAAGCAAAACTCAACACCTTGAAGGTCAGCAACCCTCGACAATACATTAAGATCCTTCTTGGTAGTCAAGGAAGTTCTTCTGGCAAGACTCTGAGTACTTTAACTTCTGAAGACCAAGCTTCGAGCAAGCCTGAAGAGAACAACCTCTAGAAGATCAAAGAAAAAATATTCAAGGGTGACCTTTTCACTATCTTGCAAATGGACCATGCTACCCACCTCTCTCTGAAGAATCTTCTTCAACAAGTGGACATTCATGCTATTTCCCCTGAGTCTGCTACCATTATCCTAGAACTTGGCACCATGATTGACCAGGTCTATGGGGATCTCAAGCGCCTGCCTCAGATCGAAAAATCCATTTCGACCAAAACTGGGAGTGAGGCTACCGCTTGGGCTTCTGC